CCCCACCCCACACCCACCCCACCCACACCCACATCCACACCCACCCAAAATCTTTCTCGATAGGGCAGGAGAAGATGTTCGTTCGCAGCTCTTTGCATATTGCTGGCGTATATATGACTTTAAGTAACATGTTCTTTGTTGAACATATTTTGAGAAAAGTGCTGGCAACGAATGTAAGTGTACAAAACCCCGACATAAACACAGACTCACACTTCAAACGAATACATAACTATGCCTATAATTTTAACATTCAGAGTCCATAATTAGTACGAATGTAAGATTTGCGACTAATTGTTGATCTTACAATAATTAGTTCACAAATTAGTTAAAGTATTCAATATGACATGAAACTGTCAAGTCATCAATATTAAAAAGAACAAGTTAATAATATTACTGAAATAGTGAAAAACGCTTATAATGAAATTTTCGTGAAAAAGATTAACTTGACTAAGTTGTAAGTTTTCAAGTCATGGTTTGTTCTCGGTATAAAAAATACGATAAAGTACGTCTTTCTTGATAGAAATGCATCATTTTCTAAGGAATTGAGTAATGAATCTTCTTAGAAAACTTTGTTGCAAAATGACCAAAACATGCATAGATACTCAGAAAAATCCTGTGATCATCATTTATATAGCCTCATCTGTTTTCGTCATTCTTCTTCCGAATAACTCGAGTTATAGGTCTCCGTGAGATAATTATAATGGATGTGGGCGAGTGTGAGTATGGGTTTGGGAGGGGATAAAGACATGAAATACACCTACACCCAAACCCTTCTATACGATTTCTGGCCTTGAGAACTTTTTCAACAGTTCTTTTGAAAGGATCTGATCGGGTTTGAATATTCTTTGAAGCAGTGCATAGAAATTGTATCGACTTGGTTTTAGCCCGAACCATACTGAATCAAATCGAACTCGGTTCATTTCTGTAGAAACATGAACCGATCGCATTTCTGGCAGTTCATCTGAGCTTATGGTCTTCAAAAGTTGCAGATCTTTTATGAGTGTACTATCTAAATAAATTTCATAACTCATTCTTAAAAGTGAAAAGGCAGTTGAGCTATGCTTTGAGAAACTTTAGGTGTTTTCTTGTTGTTGAAAATGATTCTGATAGATGTGAGAAATTAATCAGCTGTAAAGAGATGTAGCCACCTTTCAGACACTGAAAATTTCTAGTAAACTGATTAGAATTCAATGTTATCTCACTCATTGCATGGTGCCTTGAATATTTCGAATTCTTGCTCAAGTCTTGTTCAATCTCCAATTTTGAAACTATGGGTACTTCTGAGTGAATGAAAAAAACTTACACGCTAAACTTGAGTTACAGTAGAAGAAAAAAGGAAATGTCGATCGTTGACGATGTTAAGAGGAGTTGTTTTCCTTTTAATTCAAACTATATGTTGATTTTTCGTAAAACAACAACAACAGGCTTTCTTACAATTTTTAATCAACATGAATGATATATTTGCTTGATTTTGTTTTCAAACAGCGCAGATTCTGTCAGTGCATTCATTCGTTTTAGAAAAGCAAATGCCATATGAAAAGTTTTTTCTTGATTTCATGCATTCATCTAAAACATGAACAGAATGCCATCGAATATTTAAAGTCAAAATAACCGAAACGAAAAACTTCTTATTTGAAAATGATTTTTCTTCGAAGGAGTAGATGCCATATGTGACGAGACTAACTTCTTAATTCAGATATAACAAAGATTAATCTTTCTTGTGAGGTCTTTTCGACTTTGGAAAAGAATTCAGGAACAAAATCTTCTGTCTCCTTAACTATAATTTAATTAGAAATCTTCAGCAATATTTAGAGAATGAAGAATATAATTCATATTTTGATACTGTATATTTGAAAAATTCAAGGAAGATGATATATATCCATAGCCAAGTTTTACTTACTATGTCTTTCGGTATCAGTTTATCTAACCCTGAAAAATTAGAACTTTTCCCATTAGATCAAAAATAGTACTTTTTGAATGTACAACTCAACTTGATTGATTCAACTTAGTTTCTTGTAGGAATTTTTTGAAGTAAAGACCAGAATTACACCCAGGACAATGACTTCGGCCTCTGAATACTGCAGGAACCGGCAGGAAAGATGCAGGAAAATTGTCATATCTTGCAGGAAGACACCGGACAAAGTTTAAAGAATTCTCGACCGGAGTACTGCCTCCATGTTCCGTTAATTTCCAATGTTCCCCTGCGGGAACCGACCCGTACTTTTCGACCCGAGTAACTGATACCGATTCAAAATGAATAATCTAGACATTTGCAAGTGATAGCACCGTACTTAGTGTAAAATGATATAGTCTGATTTAAAACCTTCTTGGTTCACTAAACGAAATAAAATGCCATGCTAACGCTTCACACCTAGGTTAAATAATCTCACCTACAAAAGTGAACATTCAGAAAATAAAAGTCATTTTCTTCGATGTATTTAAACATTTTATTCTTTTCTTCTCTTTGTATGAAAATTAGAAAATAAAACAATACTATGAATAGTACTAAATAAAATAATACAAGGGAGAGTGTATCCATGTGTAAGTACTTTTAGCACTCATATATTCGATAACGAAATCGAATAGTCAGCATTCAAAATTTCTATTTTATGTATTCACCTTCATTAACATTGCACAAAAATGTTGATGATATCCGTCCTTACGTCACTGTAAAAAACAGACTTAGTGCACTTTCAATGGAGCATAAACCTTTTTTTCCTTTTTTTAAATACCTAATAAACCTTTTTTGCAAATCAGAAACGGAAAAATCATTTATCATCTTCGTCATATGCAGAAAGGAAAGTTTATGTTTCACTACAAACTCTTGAACGCTTTCCCGTCTATTACATTATCAACGACGTTTTTTTGTATGTTATTTTACGGATTTTTTTAGTGATCTCCTGCATCATTTGGCTTGACGCTAGTGTGGACGATAAACGGATTCAAGATACAGAACTAAAATTGGCCTCTATTATTAATCATTTCAAGAAGTTTCAAGACAGAGCACAATGTCAGAAATATATTGAAGAACGATCAGAAAAAGATCGACTAGTAATGATTGTTAGTGACCAATTGGGAAAAGAAATAATATCTACTGTTCACAATCTTCAACAAGTTATGTCAATATATGTGTATTGTGTGAATAAAGAAATTAATGAACAATGGGCTAGCAGATTTGTCAAAGTAAAACTTAATCGAATGATTTCAATTGCATTTTATGATTCTATGTTCATAGGTAAAAGCTGTTGTTGTTCAGCTTGATGAACTTATTTCTCGCATTAAGCGTGATCATAGCATTCAGGAAACGATGGAAGAACCACTGTCAGCCAATAGTGTTACTGCAGATGCTGACTCAGGTAACTGAACAATACGCGTGTATGGTCGGTTTCTTTTTTTCACAAGGGTAGATGTGAGTGGTTTGATCATCACGAGTTAAACCAACACCATCGTTCATAATCACGCCTATCGACTTCAGCTTTAACTGATAAAATTCAAAGTAGTATTTCAACTTTCACTTTTAAACCAAAGCTAAAGTGTCAACTGGATTATTCTCCAAGCTGGAAGTTGACTAGTTAGTACCCACAGAATCGTTAATCAGTCAATGATGGTGTGAGTGTGGGTATCGTTATGAGTGTCAATGTAGCTACGCCGGTGGATATGAGCGACGAATATATCAAAACACAGGCAGGCACTCCGTATCACTGCGCATCCTCTGCTACTGACTATAGTGACGTCATGGTTTGTGCAAGAGAAGGAGTTTTACAAAATCAACGATCTTTTGGTTTCTATTTATTCCTCTCATTTTTTTTTCTTAGTCATTCGTTCACAGCAGAGATGGTTCACAGCTCATAAAGTCAGAAAGATACTCTATTTTGAAAAAATCAGGCTATATTTGTGTCCATTCGAGCGACAAGAAATTAAACATGAATGAAGGAGCAATTCTGCAATAGTCTTTACCTGCACAAGTAGAAGTCGAAAATAACTTGAGAGCAAATAATAATCCCGTCACTTTTTTATCGTAAGGGAAAGACGACTATTTGAATGAAAGTGTAGAGAGAAGTGCCGATGATAGAAATATGTATATAATTTCGTTCTATTTCTTCTTGATATGTGTGACTGGAGACAGAAAGGAACATTTCTCCATCGATTTGTTCTATTGTACGCTGATGTACATTCTTTTCGTTTATTGAATATTTTGAATCCTTCAATTTTTTGGGTGTGATAGCGAGTGTGTATCTTCTGTTTGCTTCCAGTCACACCCAATACTCACCCTTCTTCTAATTTATCAATAATAAAATTTTCCTCAACAGGAAAGCTTGACAACGTGCGCGATGATGAAGTATTAAAATTAGCCAAGAATGAAATAATATGCGCTCTTCGCTTGGAAAAACATGAAATAAAAGATACAATTATGAATGATTTGTTAGAAAATGGTCGACAATTATTGTCTAAATATGAAGATGAGTTCGCACCAAAAGTCTATAAAGCAGCAATAAATGAAAACGATGGCCCATTCATGAAATCTCTAAAAAAATACTTTGAACAACAATGGAAAATAAAATATGGTTCTTCAAATCAATGGTTTATTTCATTCTTACAAGAATATAAAGATACCGTCAATTATGATTCTGTTCTGAAGCGTACAGCTGAATATGGGCATAAATACTTCAAAGATTGCCCAATCTTATCAATTATTTTGCAACTTCTATTTGAAGGCATTGATGACAAATTGTTGGATGAAACAAATGCATTCAATGATTTATGGTGCGCAATAACCAATAATGGTTTAAAATCTATAGAAAATTTTTCTGATGATAAAAAGCAATCGGTCTTATTGAAAGCGTTACATGAATATTATCGTCCAAAATTATTTGAATTATTGGAAAAAAGTAAAATCCCAGATGAAGACAACTTGTATGAATTAGCATTAAAAAATGTTGCTAAATATGGTTGGTTACAAGGTTTACAAGAAGTTAAGGAGAGAATAATAGTGAAACATTATAACACATTACGAGCGAATATTCCTGTATCTAGCGATACATCTGGAAAGCAAGGTAAACTTGATTTGATAAAATACCTTGTTTGCTTATTCCTTTAAAACGCAAATATCGTTATTATAGAAAAAGTTCCTTCAGAGAAAGTTGACAATTCAGTTTTCATTTGTGAGTTATTTTTGTATTGCACAATTCCAATTGACGATATGTGGCATCATGATTTTTTGAATCTGGTGTACCCCCAGAGACTCGAAGAAAAGCTTATTTTTATTCTTACGTCTCAAAACATACGGATATATCATTTGACGTATGTTGATCACAAATATGATGGTTGCAATGAATAAAACTATATTTCTTATGCAGCAATATCAGCGCAGTAAGATCTTTCGTGACGATGCTCTTGAGACTTTTGAATCTTTGACTTACACTAGAAAAGACAAATACTGTCAAAAAAATAATTTTTCAGACTCTGGAAAAAAATTATTTCAAAGATACTAAGAATACCAGTGTTTATGACTCATTCCTTATAATTTGGTATTTCATCTAGATAATAATTCATTAGAATTATTCTTGAGAGGTATCTATTCAATAGTAGATGAGGCATAGTTACCGCTATCGATCTCTAATCTTTTCATGAGTAGCCGAAAATTTTGTGCATTGAATTTTAGAACGAAAGTAAGCCTTTACTTTCCAAAAAATGGCAACTTCTTCCACCACTTCGTCAAAGATTTAGGGGATCAAGGACTCTGTGTTGGTGAGTTATTTCTACATATCTCGCAGTTAAATGCATTTGTTGTCGAATCATCCATAGAGATTCAAATTATTCAATCTGGATACTCGCTGATCAAATTTTATTAGTAGTCAATATCTTCGCAAGACATACTTTCTCTAGTGAAAAGTTCAAATCAGTTAAATCTTCATGGCATCTTACTCAAGATAAGATAACTTGTTTTCCTTAATAAGTAAACTGTGAACAATATAACATCATATTCCTTCAATTAGATTTGCTTTTATTTTCTACTAAAATAATTGCTTTTTGATATCAAGATATGGCTATGTGAGAAAACAAGAACCATTGATCAATCAAGACATACTAAGAGAGAAAAGCTGAAGTTTTGGCTGCTATCGACAGGTTTCCTCTTTACACGTCCTTTCATAAATTTTGGGTAAGATTTAATATGTGACGAAAAATTAATGGATTTTTTGGCGACATTTATTCGTTTTTCCCTATTGTTATGTTTTAAACAATGTGGAAGTAATTGATTCTGATTATATATCGAATATTGGATAGAAAAATGTGATTTGTTAGTGTTTTAAAATTAGTAAAGTTAACATGTCCTGTCCATTGCTGATTAACGTGAACATACATATTGGGTGTAGGTTAAGTGAAAATCTGTTTTTGGGTACCACAGTTAGTCATTCTTAATGCTGGTTATCTGGTTCAAAAACCAAATAGTTGGTAATGAATAACATCTGGTATACAGGTTCACGATACTTTCCAATGATATCCCAAATCTGAGAGAAATGTCCCTAAACTAGCAATTACCTATATGCATATTCACCAAGCGGAAGGAGTGCATCTTATCTTTAATAAGAGAGCGAGAAATATACTAGATTTGAAAAGATGTACTGACTCAACTCCACAGAAAATGGTTGAACGAAAACTGATTGATCAATTTGTACTTAGAGAAGAAAATGCTTTTTAAACTAAAACCTTCAACTTCATTGATTAAGCTAAACACATAGAGAAAAGTGTGGAATGTGAGTGACAGCGTATTGGTGTGGGTCTTCGATTCACATACGCTGACACCCCGAGTAGTCTCATCATCTCCCATGTACAATACAAACAATTACTTATTTTTTAGTTCAACCCAAAGTGGAAGCTTCAATATCAGAAAACAATCAATCATGTATGTTTGGTCAAGATACTCAAATTTTATGGAAGTTCAGTGGCATCGGGAAACCACGAGTGGCATGGTTCTTCAATGATCAACCACTTCCAACCAATGATCGTCTACAAGTAACGGAGACTGATGATGGAACATCGATACTAATAATTCGTCAAGCTAAACTTGCTGATGAAGGTGTCTATACAGCTAAAGCAATCAATGCTTTTGGTGAAGCTGAAGCTCAAACAACATTAAAGATTGATTTCATCAAACCTGTCATCAACACTAATCTCGATACTGTACTGAAAGTCACAAAAGGCGAAATCTTGACGCTAACAGTCGTCGCCAGTGGAACTCCGAAACCTCACGTTGTGTGGATGAGAGACGACACTGAACTTATACCCAATGATCGCATTCAAGTGACGACACCGACTGGTAGCGATGATCAATACACACTGACCATCTTAAATGTACAACCGGAAGATCAAGGTGAATATTCAGTCATGATTTGCAACGTTGGTGGATCACTTCAATCCGATAAGTGTAAAGCTATTGTTTCGAGTAAGTCGTCTTGACTATTCTTGTTCTTAAGTACATATGCTGTTGTAGAATCACCTATGTTTATTGTCAAGCCGACGACACAAAGAGTAAAACAAGGTGAGACAGCAGTATTCATGACGACGATTGATGGATATCCAACACCGACTATCACATGGCTTCTCAATGGAAAACTGTTGACATTGAAAGAAGACGTTGAAGTGCAATTCGATGCTGCGACTAGCCAATCGAAGTTGTCTATCCAAAACGTCAATCTTGAACAACATGCTGGTTCAATTACTTGTCGAGTGAAGAGTGAATATGGCGAGCAAGAAGAAACTGTTCGACTTGATATTCTAGTTGCACCAACAATCATCGAAGACTTGCCCATACAACAAGAAATTGTAAGTGGACGAGATATCGCATTGAAAGTCGTTGGAAAAGGATCTCCACGACCATCCGCTCAATGGTTTTTCGGAGGCCAACTCATTGACTGGGAGAATGCGTCGGAAGACGAAACGAAGAATGAATATCAACTAGCGATCAAACAGGCAACAGCGGGAAAGAACGAAGGTACTTATCGAATTGTCTTGAAGAACGAGGTGGGTGAGGTACAATCGACTCCATGTGTAGTTACAGTATTGGAACCAGTGAAGTTGACCCAACTGACACCAGCATCGAATCTAGTTGGCTTGAAAATTGGCGAAAAATTCGAGATCGTTTTGGATGTGAATGGAAAGGAAATACCGGAAGTTCAGCTGACAAAAGATGAAAAAGCAGTGCAGTTCATAAGCGAGGGGACAACACGATATACATTCTCAGTGGCTAATGTAAAGCATGAAGATCAAGGTATGTACAAGGTGACAGCAAAGAACAAGATTTCAACTGAAGAGATGACTGTCACTCTCAATGTTACTGGTGAGTTTGCGTACATTTCAAAAACAAATTTTGCACCGCATTCATTCTATACACTCTCATGAAACGGAAACTTAATTGTTCTTTCCTGTCATTGTATAGCCAGATATTAGATAAGTTTTGTCATATGCATGAAAACTTCTACTTGTAGTGTAAAACAGAGCGAAAATCTGTAACTGCTATATTTTTCATTCATATTCAGGCGTAGCACATTCTTCTTAAAGTTCACTACTCGTGAGTTGCATTCAATTAACATAACAAAGACAACAATGTTTCCAAGGTTCGTCCAAATATGATACAGTTCAATAATGCGTCTTTCAATTGTTTTGCAAAGTTTAAATTTTCTCTAGCAATTGAAGGTTTTCTAATGTTCTTTACGAACATTAGACATATTCGGATCCAATTGAATCTCTCAATGATAAACTAATAAATTTTAAATATGAACTGCCCATGATATTTGTTTTTCTTTTTTTTGGTGGTGGTTGGATGAGGTGTGAGCGCATAGGTGGATGTTGGATCGGATGTGTCTTCTCTCTATTCGCATCTACACCCGCCCTCGGAAAGAATGGAAAAAGAGTTTCGTCTACAGATACATGTCAGAGTCTATGTCTATCATGATCTGTATAAATTTATCGAGCCTTTCATGAAAAAAGTTCTGACTGAGTGTCGTATCTTATTAGAATCATTGAATTTTGAGCATCAAATATGCACTAATGTCGTGTTCTTCGACTGACTTTGATTATTGAGAGGCTTGTGTTTGAGGTGTCAACGATAAAACGCACACATTTTTCAAAAGTGTAGTAGTATTTCGCAGCCTTTTTTGACCATAATTGAATGTTAAACCAAAATCAATAGTATATTCGGAATCAACACAAAACTCTATGTTATATTTTAAACATATTAGCTAAATTCTTTTTCATGAAAAATATACTTGAAGATGTGCAGTTTTCGTTAGTTGTTGAATAATGATGTCATCAAATCAGTGACTACACCGGCACACTGACATTGCCATCAATGATCACTGAAGAACTTGAATACACTACTACAACTGAAGCATATTTTGGTATACGTAGCTGGTGACCCTAGATTGCAGCAAGTGTGGATATCAGTGCAAACAATGCTCCAGTGAAGCTTGTATTAGTGATTGACCGTCAGTATTTCAGTATTTACACTAAAACTGCACATCGCTAAATAATGTTTGATTTTATTACAAGGAAAACTTAACAAAAGCAGTTCTGAGAGATTCTCATGTACATTTTTGTAAAAGCATCTGTATCTTAGGATATAAACACATGCTTCGGAAGTTTGTCTAGTTTTACTACTACCATCAGGAAATTACACTTTTCTACAGAATAAAAACAAAATTGAAGAACAATTCAAGAAGTGATTTTATGGATCGTGATAGGATGATTCTAAGAGGATGAGACATTAGGCCTTATTTTTTCTTCCAAAAATCAAGTTCGATTTACATAAAAATCTACTTAAACCAATCCAAACGTAGCGGTGGTGATAGCGAGAGAGTAAGTGAGAGGGAGAGTGAAGAGGAAAACTAATACCTTTACGTTAAGCTCTCATACACTATGCCATCCACATCCACATCCTCATTCTTTTCGTTTACATCCACACTCTCACGGTGAACGAAGCCTCCGTTTCTTATGTTACAACTGGTGGCATCCGTTTCTACTTAGAGTAAGCCACCAAACAGTAAAAGCAATTAAGTTTTATAGATAATGCCGTTAAAAACCTATTAAGAAATAAAAGATTGTTTTGAATTCCAGGTGCTTCGACAAGGAGTGCTGCCGGCATAACCAAAGCAAAAATAGACACGGACTTCAGTAAAGTTCAAGTACGTAATTCAAAGAATTTCTTAGTGACCTGGTTTTTGTTCATCCATATCTCCTTTTCTTTATAGAACAACACAGCTGCAGCAGCCGCCGTCAACAATGTAAACAGTGGTTTTTTGTCAACTATCAGAAAGGTC